ACTGGTATGCTATAGTAATGAACTACTTGATGAAGTCTTAATTCTTTGTCAAATTATTAACAATTTTTTGACACTGTATTGCATCCCTTATTGTTTATTCAGGTTGATGATTTAAATCTGCAGTAATGGGTTTCTTCAGAAAAGTAGATATGTTTTGTTTTATATTTATATTTTTTCCATTCTTCAGAGCAACTTTTTAAAAAGCATTTGGAATACAGAGGTAGTTACTATGATGTTATACAGCATTTGCACTTTTAGTTGAGAAATAATATAATTGATTTTTAAAGTAGTTCCCTTTATTGTTAAATAGAGTAGACTTTTGTACAGAACGGTGTACATTTTTGTTAAGTTTTGTGCGTATTTATATTGTGGAATCAGTGGGGGAAAATATATTAATAAATAAATTCACACAGCTTAATTTGAAAGTAGTATTATTACTTAAAATGTACCTATATTGCTGACTCCTAATAACGTAAAACTCAATTGAGATTCTGTGTCTAAAGAGATGTTGGTTGATCTTAGAATATCATCATCTTAATTTGGAAGATAAACCACGTGGTGACGGACCTATTTAAACAGAACAAAGGATTTGATTCCCTGAGTTTTGGGTTTGGGTGAAATGATTACTACAGTTAGCTTCTCTTCACATTGCATCTGATGGTAGTGGGGAGCTAAGAGGGGCTAAACCTTGAGCTGGTTTTATTTCTCATTTGCCAAAAATGACTGAAATGAAGAAAAGATATCCGGCTTGCCTTTTCAGAAGCTATGAGTTCCTTAGTTAAAGATGCCTAAATCAGTGGTTTCTTCTTTGATAGGAAGAGTTAGATTAAGGACATACCCTAAAGAGATATGTATCAAGGCATATGCAATAGGAAACATGTCTTTTTCCAGTAGGAAAGATAATTGAAACTATATTATGTTAAAAGGAAAAAAAGAACCTTTTTTAAAAAAAGGATAATACCACAAGGCAAGAAATCTAGTTTCTGAGCTCTTGAATTAGGACTATGATAGATAATATAACAGATAATAAGCTCTCTTATATCTACTCTTTAAAGTTTATATAATTGAAGTATTTTATACTGTGCTACAATGCATTTGAAATCTATAAAATCTGTAATTGTAGTATACTTTGATTGTCCACATTTACTGTTGTATAAAATTTAACAA